TTCAGTTCTGTTATTAAAAATTGCATTGTTGATCTTTTTTTTTATGCTCATAGAATTTATTGTTGCAAAATGGAGTATTATTATATACTCCAGTTAAATGTGGCACAGAGTTCTTGTCCTGGTGAATTAATTCATACAGTGTGACTTTGGTCAAAGTATAAGAAATAGTAGACCACCCAGGACCTGATGGGTCATATTTTCAGAGAGATTTCCTTATCAGATTCCTCAGTAACTTCAACAATGACAGAACTTCTAATGTACTGTCTTGACTAGAAAAGTTGAAGATAAATTCATAGATGAATCTGCCTTGAAAATAGTCCCCATTGAACTGTATAGTAGAGTCATATATCAGCACAGGAAATGTTTTATGACATTTACATTATGACATAAAGTGTTTTATGACTTTTTAGGTCATTAATTGTTTTATAAAACTTGCAAAATTTCAATTTCATGGCAGTCATGTCTCCAGGGTCAACATACTATCTAGGTTAGATTATTTGAGGTATTTTGGTTCAAAAATTATTGCCCTACGATGCACCACTTTGCCCACTTAAAGGTTACAAACAAACTTTTAGAGGTTTTTTTTTTACTAGTATATAGATTATGAATGATCTCCCGCTCAGCTGATTTGCAAAAATATAGGATTTTATAATTTGTAATAATTTTGTGGTCAGTGTGAGCAACCAAATATCAAAGCATTTCCCTGTGTATGAGCAATCTTTATCGTTTTTAAAAAAAATGGAAAGCAGCATTTATTTATCGAATCCAACTTTATTACATTTTGAAATGGAAACAATATCTTAGTTGTTTCTCCTTCACATTTGCATCAGTTAAATCTCTGAATGAATTAGTGCCCAGTGTTACTGTAATANTTACTTTGGTTTGTGAGCCGCCCTGAGTCCCTCTGGGAATAGGGCGGCATAGAAATGCAATAAATCAAATCAAATCAAATAACAAAGTTGGAAGAGACCTTGGAGCAGTGGTGGGATTCAAATAATTTAACAACTGGTTCTCTGCCCTAATGATTTCTTCCAGCACCCAGTTCACCAAGCTGCTCAAACGATTAACAACTGGTTATCCCGAAGTGATGCAAACTGACTGAATCCCATCTCCCTTGGAGGTCTTCTAGTCCAAACCCCTGCTCAAGCAGGAGACTGTCCAGTCTCTTAAAAGCCTCCTGTGATGGAGCACCCACAACTTCCGAAGGCAAGTCATCCCAATGATTAATTGTTCTCACTTTTAGGAAATTTTTCCTTAGTTCCGGGTTGTAGATAAATGTTGCTAATGCTACAAGAGATGAGGCCCATCTTATCTTTTATCATGTCAAAAAACCCACCCCTGCTTTTTGCAAAGAGTAGACCCCCTATTCATATTAAAGTGAAAAGTAGCCCATAGGGGTGGAAAACAATTGGGTCACTCTGTCTATAAGCGGTGCTAAACAAGACACAAGTAACTTATTAAAGAACCACATGTTGAACAACTGCTATGCAGAAGAAGACACAAATTGGTTTCCCATCTTGTTTTGAATCATACCCTTTCCTCTTGCTGTTATCAAAATCACTCCCTCCCTCAAACAGGCATTCTCCCCTTCTGGATTTCAAACCTCCTCTATTGCTGAGTTGTGATGTTCCTCATCACTCTCTGCACCTCGAGGAGTCATCAGAAAACTGTGCTGCCATTAAATTCTTTGCTCCGGCTGCCAGAAGATCATATTCTATCAACCATTTTTCTGTTGCATCAGCCAATTTTGCAAGCTATTTTTCCGGGAAAAGGAAAGCTAGCCTTTGTGTATTACTCACAATTCCCATGCAGCTGTCTGATAACAAAGTAGTTAATGGACAAAACTTCACTTAGATGCATAGCCCAGTAGGGAGGCTTCCATAGATAATAATTAAAGGATGAGCCCATAGGGAATTGGTGCTGTTCANAGTAAATCAAGACGCAACAGATGGAAACTAATCAAGGAGAGAAGCAACTAAGAACCAAGGAGAAATTTCCTGACGGTTACAACAATTAATCAGCGGAACAACTTGCCTCCGGAAGTTGTGAATGGAAGTTTTAAAGAAGATGTTGGAAAGCCATTTGTCTGAAGTGGTGTAGGGTTTCCTGCCTAAACAGGGGGTTGGACTAGAAGACCCCCAAGGTCCCTTCCAACTCTGTTATTCTATTCTATTCTCTCTTCTCTTCTCATCTCGAGCTGCAACCTATCAGCAAACAACTAACCTTTCTCTGTTCTGTTAGCTTTCCTTCCTTCCTTTCCCCATTTCCTAGCACTTTGGCCTCAAAAAAAGACCAATTCTACAAAACTGCCTTCTTCTCTGGCCTCAAATTCACTCCGATTCCGCTATCTGAGCATGGGGATAGAAAAGATCCCCTTACGCCTACTTCCATATGGCAAAACATTTTTGCAGTCATGCCACATGCTACCCACAGCTGTTTCTATGGTAGTGGGATTTGTTTTGGATGAGGCTCCACCGAAAATGTGAGGCGACCTGACTGAAAACAAGGCTACAATTTTTAATTTACAACTGATGCTATGGTAACCGAACACATCTTGTCTGTTTACAAACACAAGAGTCCAGGGCTGGGAAAGTTCAGCTGTTTTTTTTTGTTTGTTTTTTTTTTTAATGTAGGAGCTTCTCTTGAATATTCTACGAGTCACACTGAAAAAAAGGAATCAAGCTGAAGAAAGGGAATAGACACGTTTCAAAACCAGAAATATTAGCCATCTTAAAATGGAGTTAAGCAGGAGAGCAATATTTCTACAGACCTCGATGAGACTGGTGAAAAGAAACCACTGTATGAGTGGGGGGAAACACCACAATTCCAAGAAGCCAGCAAATTTAGTTAAGAGCGCAAAAGTGTATTTATTGTGTTCTGTTTTATAACCTACATCAAATCAGAAATCCCCTTTGCAGAAATTAATAATTTTGACAATGATGCTTTTTATTCTCACCAAGCCAAAGCGGGGAGAGCAATTTTGAAAATTCTCAATGGGCCTGCTCCAAAATGCTAAAAAAAAAAAAAAGCATTTCTAAAATTTGTAATTCTACTGAAATAGGAGAGAAAGCCCGGATAGCTGACAAGCCTTCCTGTGAAATGGTTATTTTATCAAGGCTTTTATTGTTCTTAAAAATTTTTGTTTAAACGAAGGCAGGGAAATGACAGTTCACCCAGTTTTGTCATTGTATCTGTGGTTCCCAGTTTGTGCTTTATTTGTGGTTGTGGTTTCGCCCGGGTGTGCAGGTGTGTAACTGTTTCATCTACATATCTTCCTTTGTGTGTGTGTATTTGCGCGCCCTGTGGTAACAGTGACTGTTGAATCTTTCAACATTACTTACGTCCCTCTATTCATTTTCTTGCCAAATTGTCTTTAACTTCTTCAGTTGGCAGTACTTCCTGTAAACTGAATCCTCAACCAAATTTTTAAAAAAATGATTATTTAAGAGTGGTTTTATAGTTTGGGCACGGCCTTTTACCATGGATTTTGATTCTTACACAAACTGCTTTCTTTCTAGTCTTCTAGCAAATTCTTGTTTAGTTATGGCCCACAGCTAATCTGACAACCCCTGCCAGATAGCATCCCTGATGTGTTCAAACTCTCCATGTAGCTGCCAATAGCAAATGTTTGGGAATGTTCTCTAAGACAAATGGTTTAGGTTTAGGTTTATTAGATTTATATGCCACCCTTCTCCCAAGGACTCAGGGCGGGTGTACAACATTAAAAGAAACACATAATACAAAAGTTAAAAAAAATTAAATAGAATAGTTTAATAGTTTAATCCAGGGGTGTCCAAACTTGGGAATTTTAAGACTTGTGGATTTCAACTACCAGAATTCCCCAGCCAGCATGGCTGGCTGGGGAATTATGGGGATTGAAGTTGGCTGGGGAATTCTGGAAGTTGAAGTGCACAAGTCTTAAAGTTCCCAAGTTTGGACAACCCCTGGTTTAATCTATAGGTTTTACAGTTACTGCACTGTTCACATTAAAATTTGTGGAGGGGATGGGGGAGACATGGCTTCTTGGTGGCTATTTTTGAGTACAGAAAAGACATCTTGAATTAAAGATTTGAACTAGAAAAAGACAATGGGTCAATGGCAGAAAGACCAGCTATTTTGGTCACAATAATTGTTGGTCAGTCACCTTTACCATTATGGCTCCACAGCTAATAACAGGAAAGCTGTGTAAAAGGCCTGGATTGATCTGCTTTTTAGAAGGTACTCAATTAAGGGAAAATAATCGGTGTTTCCTCATTCTCAATCCTTTTACCTTTTCTTGGCTTTATACGGACTAATATTGGAAGCCAACATTGCTGGCTTGTTAGATACAGAAACAGGGTATTATTGCCACCCTCCAGAGCATAATTTCATGCATTGTGTAGAACAGCCAACCGTGATGAAAACTGTTCAACACTGTGATCCAGTTGGATCCAATTGGTTTCTAATCAGATTCTGCTGACAGGACTTTTATTGTTTTGGCCTGCCACCTACAGGTAGTCCTCAACCTACGGCCACAACGGAGCCCCAAAATTTCTGCTCTTAAGTGAGACATCTGTTAAGTGAGTTTTGCCACCTTTTTTTACGACCTTCCTTTCCACCGTTATTGAGTGAATCTCCGCAGTCAACAAGGTAGTCACCTGGTTGTTAAGTGAATCTGGCGTCCCCGCTGACTTTGCTTGTCGCAAAACGGGATTGCATGACCTCGGGACGCGGCAACCATCGTAAGTATGAACCGGTTGCCAAGCTGGATGAATTTTGATCACATGTTCATGGGGAATGCTGCAAAGGTAACTGTGAAAAACAGCCACAGGCCACATGTTTCAGTGCTGTTGTTAACTTTGAACAGTGACTAAATGAAATGTTGTAAGTCGGGGACTACTATACGGTGCAATTTCTTCCTTTGGTCCAAACTGGACAATCCTCAAGAGCTCCATTTTATGATGGGTACATTTCAGTCATTGCAGAACTTTTGGCTGAACTCCAAAGAATTATTAAAACTCCAACATTTACATATTTTATTATTATTATTATTTGAGATGACTGCTTGTTACAGGATACTGACAGCTGTTAGACATCTGTGTACACAGATACATTTTTTTCCTTGTAAACACAAATGCATAATATCATAATTTACAGAACAGAAATTGTCCTCCTGTTCTTTCATCTGAAAAGTAGCTTATTTGGAAACCAAGTTATCCTAAGGAGGTGTTCAGCCCTCTGGTGTGATTGTGTTTTTGGCAATCTGACTCATGATTTCTGAAATAATTGGAGCACATACAGGAGAGGCACAAAATTACTCAGCTGAAACCTAAGAGATGGGATGAGCAATGCTTTGGTATATTTTCAATATGCAGGAGTATCCCAAAAGGATAAAAATGTTGGATTAACATTCCAGCATTCTTTAGAAATTGTTGAAACGACGAACAAAAAAAAACAAACACAATCATGTAATGCACTTTCTGCGTTGCAAGAAAGCTCTGTAAAAGTCAGCCCGCTTCCAAAAACACTGTGCCAAAATTGAAAACATCACATCTGGTTTTAGCTTTAACTCTTTGGAAAAAGACAACAACCTTAGACATTTTTTTTTTGCTACACGGACGGGAGGAGGAAAAAACACAAACACAGAGAGAATAAAGATTAAATATGAGACAAGGAGTGTGTACCGTATTCACACATTTCACACACAAACAGGAATCATATAAATTAAAATGTCTGTTGGGGCTAATAGCAGAACCAACACTCATTTTTGGTTACCTTTGGTTTTCACAGTTACTGGGAATGCCACCTTCCCCTCTCCAACTATGTGTCTTCATCACAACTGAACAATTTGTGGTTACTAATGAACTGTGGTTAACGTAACCAAGATTTCTGCTTTAACGAGGTTCGGACTATAGAATAGGAAGAGAATGATGCTGTACCATCAAGTCAGTGTCAATTCTTCATGACCCACAAGATTGTCTCTGAGAGTATCTATCCTGGTGTTTCAACAGTGAGATTTGAAAAATCCTTGTTAATATTAACTAAAGACAGAGAACCGTAACAGTTTAAATGAAACTAAAAGTGGAAGGCAGAAATTTGGTCTAAGGAAGGGAAAGACTTGGAGATACAAATGATGCATTTGAAGTTTATTCGCCATGGTTAAGAGGGAATCCATCCCGGATGTGGGTGACGGAAATAAAATTTTTGATGAAAGAAGTAAAAATTATGGAATAAAATTAAACTGGTTCTTTTTGTGTCAGTTTGCTTGTTTCAAAACATCTGGAGCCCACGTTAAGATAACCACAGAAGGAATGTGATGGAAAACAAATTATATTGGGTGGGTATTCTAAGATTAAGTCTCTATTCTAGTTTCTAAGATATCAAAGTTTTCTATTGTGCTAACGGTAAGGACAATTTAACCCTGATTTTTTTTGTTTTTCTTTTCTTTTTTTTAAAAAAGAACACTTATTTTCCCCATAACCACAGAACAGTACATTACTACAGGTTTCCAAAATTTCGTTTTTTGTTCCGTTATCCCAAATCAATTTCCTACTACCAATTCAATGCGAATGCTTAACGTGAGATTAAGCTGATGCGGATTTTTGGGGGGGAAAAATAGACAAGTGCTTTCCCACTTTGTGCTTCTTGCTTTAATTTGCCTTTTTCTTAACAACGACCACAGGGAAGAGAAGTCGTGAAACCAAAGGCTTTCGCTCCCCGCCTCCATAAAACAGCCGTTTCAGGAATGTGACATTATTCGGAACAAGAAATCCAGCGGTTGCATCAAATCTAAATTCTTGGAGAACACTTTGAGGCAAAAAAGAAAAGAAAAAAAGTCTAAAATAATTACAGGCATCTGCCAGAGAGGAGATCAGGGGGACTCAAAATGGCAGCCTTTGGACCATGTCATCGTGGCAACCATCTTAGTCTGTTTCACCCCTCTTTTAATGCCACGTTTAGGACTTTAGAGAGTTGGGACCAAAGTGTTCACGATCAGAGAAGGGAAACCGGGAGGACACATTTTAGAAACCAAAAAGCAGATTGAAATTTAAGTAAATTTCAAAAGTAAAGGGAACGTTTTCCCCATCCTTGACATTCCTGTTTGCTTCAACCAGTTGTTGCTACTCAAAGAACGAGCTGTGTGTGGGGGGGGGGAGTCAACTCTTTGGACACGGGGAGGGGGGGCTCCTTCCTGCATCGGTTACCTTCCACCAAGTAATTGTTAACTATCAAACTCTGTCCATAAATTTGGTCGCTGAGGGTGAAACCATCCAGTTAGCATAAACACTATCATTTGCATATCTTGAAAACACAGCCTTAGGCCCATCGCTTCTGGCAAGTGGAACAGGGCTCTCTTCGGGCCAGTTCGGGTATGACATGCCTAAAAATGAAAACAGATAATTTTTTCTGCACTGAAGAACCAACACTTCATGTGCAGACAGTAAGGCCCTTGGCAAAACTCCCTTCGCAAATTGCAAGCCAAATGACAGGACGAGCCCTCGCCTCCCCAAGGAACTCCCAATGTGTTTCCCAGGGAACTGGGACCCAAAGCTAAAACTCACAAAAAAATAGGAACTTCGCTGCAGCCTGCTCAAATGTTTGCTCTTTTTACAATTTGAGAATGTTATGTTTTTAAAGGTAAAGGTTCCCCTCGCACATATGTGGTAGTCGTTCCCGACTCTAGGGGGCAGTGCTCATCTCCGTTTCAGAGCCAAAGAGCCAGCGCTGTCCGAAGATATCGCCGTGGTCATGTGGCCGGCATGACTAGACTTCGAAGACGCATGGAGCGCTGTTACCTTCCCACCAAAGGTGGTACCTATTTTTCTACTTGCATTTTTATGTGCTTTCGAACTGCTAGGTTGGCAGAAGCTGGGACAAGTAACGGGAGCTCACTCCGTTACGCGGCGCTAGGGATTTGAACTGCTGAACTGGCAACTTTTCTGATTGACAAACTCAGTGTCTTAGCCACTGACCCANAGTTTGGAGCAGTTTACCTTGAGTTTGTATCTATTGTTTGCTCAAGTATTACTGCGGTTGAAGCTGAGGTAGTTGTTGGCAGGTAGGACGTTGTAGCAGATAATTTTGTGTACTATGCGTAGGTGAAACCGTAGGCGGCGTAGTTCTAGATTGTCCAAGCCCAAAATTTGAAGGCTGGTGGCATAAGGGATTCTATTGGGAGCAGAGGAGTAGAGGACACTTCTCGTGAAATACTTCTGGACTCGCTCAATTGTATTAATGTCCGATATACAGTGTGGCATCCAGGCAGATGAACTGTATTTGAGAATTGGTCTAGCAAAGGTTTTGTATGCCCTAGTTTGCAGTACAATGTTACCGGAGGAGTAGCTTTGCAAGATTAGGTTAACAACTCTTAATGTTTTTCCACATTCTGGGTGTGCAACCATGCATTTCTTGAAGTACTACTGCGGTAGGTCTTTGTAAGACCTTTTGCACTCAATAGCACTTTATCCGCATTTGTGTCAGAAAGCCCCATGTGAGGTTGTACATTTATATTGCCGAGGGCAGCTGCAATCAACTTCTTCCTGCTTCAGTAGGGGGCTGGACTAGAAGACCTCCAAGGTCCCTTCCAGCTCTATTCTACACCTTTCTGGGAAGTATCTGTGATAAGTAGTTGGAATACTGCATCCAGTTTTGGTCACCACCTTTCAAAAAAGATGTTGAGACTTTGGAAAAAGTGCAGAGAAGAGCACTTCTAGAGTCGGGAACAACTAGCACATATGTGCGAGGGAAACCTTTACGTGTGTGTGTGTGTGTCTTTACTTTATTTTGATAATTTTACTTGAAAATTAACAGGGGTATCCAAAGTAGTAGGTGCTGTCCATCCTAATGAATCATGACAATGACAGTTGGGGAGCAGAATAAATTACTAGTGTGCAAACCCTTTCTGGAAGTGCAAACAATGATAATCCCATTAATAGCTTTAGTCATTCTTGGAAAGTTGTTGCTGATAATCTGAAAAAGGACAATGTGTTTCACAGCTATTCTGCGTAGGAATTTTCTGCCCCCCGTTCTGTTAAGACTTTGTGGGGAAATCGTATGTTGGTCTATCATGCTGGGGGATTTTTGTATGGATACAAAGCATGGACAACTGTCAAAAGTGACAATCAATTGAACCTTGAGCCTTTGAAATGTGGATATAGAACATTAGTCACAATGGCACAAGTTGAATGCGTACAAAAGGAGTCCTCTAAAGAACACGTGAAAAAGAGGGAAATTGTAATTAAAAAAAAATAAAATAAGAATGAGAATGTTTAGGACATGTAACACCCAGTGAGAAACATCAACTACTTAGATTAATTACAGAAGGAAATATTCAGAGGAAATATATCCTGGTTGGGTGGGGAAATCTAAGTGCACGGTTTGGCAAAAATGAAACATCCTTGTTTTTGTACAAGATCGTCAAAAGAACAAAGAACAAGCTTCAGGAAGAGATGGTGCTTCAAGGTGACATTTGCAAACAATAAAATAAAATCCCACCAGGCCTGAAAAGCAAAGGAGGAGCATTCCATTATAATTATTTGTGGCATTCATTCAGCCTTACATGAGCATGAGATGTCCACATCACCAAGGTCTTACTTGCTCAGGATTGCAATACAAGTATTTCCGTTGACTTTGTTTCAATAGATTTGCCAGGTTAAAAGGCCAGAGAAGCAATATGCAGCTACTCCATGTTCGTTTTACTCTTGGGCAGTGTTGTGGCCCGCCAGCGACCAGTGGATCTGGCAGCAGATTCGGACAGTGAGAAGGTTGGGGAGAAACATGGGCCAGTCCTGGAGTCTGGGGAAGGCTCTGATGAGGGCTCTGTGTTGGAAGCAGAGAGGGGG